GCTCACAGAGAGGAGAGGGAGGAGGAAGGTGAGGAAGAGCACGGGGTGGGGAGTGCTGGGGTGCCCTGTCCCCTCTGGGTGGGCACTGCCACWGCCAYMCCYCAGCCTGGCCCCGTTCCCCTKCCCTGAACATCCTTCATCCTCCCTCATCCTGCAAACGGYGCCTGCAGGAGCCAGGGAAGCCTCAAATGCCCTTTCCCCAAACTTCCTGGCTTCCCCCAGGCTCCCGAGAGCGGAGCCACCCGATCCCAGCCCCGCTCCCCGCTCTGGCTGTGATGCCATTTCTCCGGGGTGCCACATGTCTGTCCGTAAATAAACCCCACGGCTGGCCCCTGTCCAGGCTGCAGGATCTCCCAAATGAAATGGAAATGGAACCAYGGAGCCARTCTGAGGGGAGGTGGGAGATGTTCCATAAAAMCCCTCCTGAATCACCGGGAACCCTCCAGAGCTGATCTGAGGGGAKGTRGGAGATGTTCYGTTAAAAACCCTCCTGAGTGACTGGGAACCCTGCAGAGGAGCTCCAGAGCTGAGCAGAGGGGAGGTGGGAGATGTTCYRTKWAAAACCCTCTGGTGGGAGATSTTCCATAAAAACCATCCGGTGGGAGATGTTCCATAAAAACCCTCCTGGATCACCGGGAACCCTCCAGAGGAGCTCCAGAGCTGCCCCATAAATCCCTTTTGGCAGCCAGGAAGGGGGCACAGGTGAGGAGAATCCCTCTCCATCATCACTGAGGATGGAACGATCAGGGATGGGTTGAGCAGGTGATGCTCTGTGGGAATGTCCGTTTCTATAAAACTTTGAAAAAACCTGGATTTGCATCAATTTCCAGCTGCAAATGGGGGTTCTGGGTGGTAAATGACCCCAAATCACCCTCTGCGGTTTGCTGGGCTTCACGCTGCAGGACAGGAGCCCATCGGGGTCCAGGAATCGCCCTCGGTCTGCAGGAAAGGTTTCCCAAAGGCTCTCCAGCATGGAGGGCTTCCTGAAGCTGCACAAGATCGTGGAAAGGAATTGAAAGAGACCTTGAAATGTTAAAAGAGACCTTAAAGCTCACGGGCAGGGACACCTCCCACTRTCCCAGGTGGCTCCAGGGTGGCCTTGGGCACTGCCRKGGATCCAGGGGCAGCCACAGCTGCTCTGGACACCTKTGCCAGSGCCTCCCCACCCTCACAGGGMKGAATTCCTTCCCAAGATCCCGTTATCTTTGGGGTCTTTTCAACCTAAACCAT